AAACATATTTGAATGTTGGGATTTTTCAAAGCATCATAATATACCTCACGATTTTGTGGTATTGAACTCAAGTCTTCTTTTATCTGAGCAAGTGTTCTTCTTGGGGGGCGAGGGTAGCGTAAGTATCCCATCCTTTCAGCTGTTCCATAGATTATGTACTTGATCGGTTTGCGGCATGGCAGAAACCTGAGTTTTGCAAATAGATGTCTATGTTAGGCTAAGTTGTTGCAATGAAAGCATATTTGAAGTGAACAAATTGTCTTAGAGATTGTTAGGAAATCAATACCTGTTCATGACTCTTTCAGTGGTCTCATTGTATGAACTGATAATCAGACGACTGGCTTGTGTCGATTCCAGCTCATATATACCATCATCGTTGCATGCATCGGGCACGGAGACTACCGATGTAACTGTGGTTATCAGCGGGAGGTGCGACTCTACATCTGCTGCTTGTTGGAGGTAACCAGCGACATCGTAGCCACAGTACTTCACAACAGCCTTGTTCCCACTGTTTTGCAAATGCAAACAAAATATAAATTATTCGCTGTCGAAAGTTTTAACGATCTAAGGTACATAGTTTAGTATACCTGTAGTCTTCAATAACCAGATGGAAATCAAGCATGCCATCTTGGAGGGCATTTGGTAGTGTGATTCGCCGTACGCAGCCTGTGACATCTGTAATTGCATAGATGTTATGGGATTTTTAGTGTGTGTTGGTCGTGAAAGTGATGTACATTGCTTTACCTGCGTGGCAGTGGAAACTTTCAAACTTTGCAGGGACCATTGAGAAGTGAGAGTTCATGAATGAGTCGAGGGGAAACTTAGGATTGTTCTGGTCTTCTTCGATGTTGTCAATCAGTTGCTCAGAGTTCATGAGAAGCTGCAGTTCTCCTGGAACAATGCGTTTGTTCTTACTCGAGGGGATTGTAACGATAATGCTTAGGCGATACAGACGACCAACTTTGATCCTCGCCATCACGTCATCAATGTCCTTTTCATATGCCAAAGCTTCAATAACTCGTTTCTGCTGGATTAGCAGGTGTAAAAGAATGTTATAGATAACCAGCTGGTGTTTTTTTGCTGGGAAATCGTAAACAAACCTTTTTGTCCATCCAGAGCATGCGCAATGCTGGCGTTTTCCAAACCTCTCCGTCAATGACTTCTGTCCACGTTTTTAGAAGCCGAGCTATCACAGTACGGCTGTTGGTTCCCAACCGCAAACCTCGAAACGTCATCGAAGCACAAATGGGGTCTACAATAGAGACAAGAAACACACTAAGTGGAGTCACCATTTATTGTAAGGTTTTGCGAATCAATCGAATCCAGTACCAATTTAGACCTACAGTCTACAGAAACACAAACATCGAACCTTGGGGATCGGTGGGGTCCTCGTAATCCCGCGAGGCGACTGGGTTGTCTCGGCGGAAAACTGCCATAGTTCGTTGGTCCGCTGTGATCGTAGTAATCTTTATTAGAGGAATATGATGTTTCCTACTGAGTGGCGTGCTTAGGACCACATAGTGACATACCTTGGCGCTAGGGTTTTCACCGTGGTCGAAAGGGGCAGTTTTTACCGCCGATGCCAGCGAAGATCTGGAACGAGGTCTGTGTTGTCGGGGGAGGCAAGAGCAGGGCTTAAGTAAATTGAATGCGGCCTAAAAAAGACAGGCCGGAAGGCTGATTTGCGCCTTCTGGCCCAATGGTTGCTGCTTTTGGCCACAAATGTACATACCTGTTATTCAAAGGTTTCATCTTCGGTTTAAACCAAAAGGCAATCTCCAAATACGACTGCCTATACGATACATCTAAATACACAATCCAATGACAAAAATTTCGGCTTGGCTAATTTCTTTGGAGTGACATGATAATACACCATCTACTTGCCAATTTTCCGGTTTATTAAATTCTGTTTACTTTTCAATTGACATCGATAGCCAAAAGTAACCGGCAAACCTTCACGTACCTACTAATGTACTACGCGAAGGACATACTTACAAGCAAAAACCCTAAACCCTGAACCCTAAACCCTAAACCCTGAACCATGAACCCTAAACCCTAAACCCTGAACCCTGAACCCTGAACCCTAGACCCTGAAAACTGAACCCTGAACCCTAAACCCTAAAATCCTAAACCCTAAACCCTAAACCCTGAAACCTGAACCCTAGACCCTGAAACCTGAACCCTGAACCCTGAACCCTAGACCCTGATACCTGAACCCTGAACCCTAAATCCTAAACCCTAGACCCTGGACCCTGAACCCTAACCCCTAAACCCTAGACCCTGAAACCTGAACCCTGAACCCTGAACCCTGGACCCTGATACTTGAACCCTGAACCCTAAACCCTAGACCCTGAACCCTGAACCCTAAACCCTAAACTCTAAACTCTAGACCCTGAAACCTGAACCCTAGACCCTGAAACCTGAACCCTGAACCCTAAACCCTAAACCCTAGACCCTGAACCCTGGACCCTGAACTCTAAACCCTAAACTCTGAACCCTAAACCCTAATAAAATCATGTTTGCCTTTTTACCTCTAGAGTGAACTTCTTGTTGTTATCCAACTCCACCAAGCAAACGACCCCTTAGTAATAACTAATTAGGATGAAATGAGTTGTTTGCTAGCTCGAGCCAGAATTTTGATCGAAATTATGAGCCCAAACTCAATAAATGAGTTGTGTCGTGTTCGGATCGTATTAGCTCGTTCATAAAAGAGCCGAGAGTGAGTTCGGCTTGGCTCATTAAAATGGACCATGTTTCTTTGGAGTGACATGATAATACACCATCAACTTGTCAATTTTCCGGTTTATTAATTTTTGTTTACTTTTCACTTGACTTCTATAGCCAAAAGTAACTGGCAAACCTTCAATTTTCACTTGACTTCAATTTTCCTGGTCTAGGTCTCTGAGTGGAGTTGCGGGTGACGATGGTATTCCAGGCTTTTCCCGGCGGCAGCGGCGGCATGGCAAGGTTGCAATGGCAGCTAGGTTTTAGATTTGTCTACTTTGGGCTCTCTGTGTTATGTGTGGCACTTGGGCTTTTCGGGTGGGCTTTTGAATTGCTTATCTGTATTGTAACAATTTGTAAGAGCCGGACCGGACCGGGAAAACCGCCAACCGCCAACAAAAGCGGTCCGGTCTCTGTACTTAAGTTAAGCGGCCTTTGCTGGGCCGAACGCTTTTTAGCGATCCCATAGTGAAACCGCAGAACCGGGACGGCCCTATTGGTCCAACGGTCTGCTACTAATAAAAGAAAATCATAGTACTACTATTATTGAAGCCAACGCCGACCTACACAAACAAGCAACCCTAATAAAGTTAGCTCTAACGCTGCAGTTGCTTTCCTGACTCCTACTGCTCTTCAACTTTTCGTTAACACGGAACCGCCATCGCCTCTCTCTCTGTCTCTCTCTCTGATTGATGACATGCAATGATTCCGGTACTATTCAGTTGATGGGGTATCCCACTTGAGCAGATTGGATGTGTCTCAATAAAGTAACGAGGGAACCAAGGTAGTTTATCGGGACTGCCATTCCCATTCCTGAGAAGTTTAGCAGAACAGTTTTTTTTTTTGGAGAAACCGCAGACCAGTCTTTTCCCATTCCCTCCATTCCCTTTATCTTTGGGGTATAAATGAACAGAGTCTTTTCCCATTCCCTTTCTCAAAATCACCCCGCTTTTTCTACCAAAAAAAAAAATCACCCCGCTTCCATCCGTGTCTTCACCTGCAATTCTGCAAGAAACCCTAGATATCGAACCCATCTTCTTCGTGGGTCGCCCAATTCAATCCGGGCGACCGGGTCGAGATCAGCCCCCGCGATGTAGGGTTCCGCGGCTCCTGGTACGCCGGCACCGTCGTCCGCCGCGAGGCGAAGAACACCAATCGTTACGTAGTCGAGTACGACCAGCTCTACGCGGACGAATCTGGGGAGAAGCTGCTGCAAGAAACCCTCGATTGGATCCAATTGCGTCCGCCGCCGCCGCCTCCCGAGAAGAAGAAGGTCCAGTTCAAGTTCGAAGACGAAGTGGAGGCCTTCTACAGCGACGGCTGGTGGGAAGGGGCTATTATTGCGGAGCACTCCGGCGGGAAATTCGCGGTGTTCCTCAGAGGCTTTGAGGAGCAGATTGTGTTTGAAGAGAAAGATTTGAGGTTGCCTGTTCAGTGGGTTAAAGGGAAGTGGGAGCCGCGATTCGTACAGGTTCAGCGGGAGAAAGAGGTGAGCTAATTCGATTTTATGACTTTTCCTGCTCCGTTGCTTGGTATAACAATTTTAGGGGATTTTGAATCTCGATCTAGTTAGGTTGAGGAAAGTAGAGAATGTTGGGTATTAGCGGAATTGTGGTGGAAAATAGGATCAAAACAAAGGAAACAATTGGTGTTTAATCACTCTTTTTATAAATCACTCAAACAAACAAGGCCTTGATTTTTGGCTCTTGTTGCTTACAAACACATAGATACAGAGACTTCTTTCTTTCTTTTATGTCTCTTCCCCATTGCACTATGACACACCCCATGCATACATATATAATACACAATTGAAGAAGAAAGAAACTAATAGAATGACCCCATATACTCAATGCAAGTGAGCCCTCTTCCATCATCATCTTCTCTTCCACGATACAACACAACACATGCATGAGTTAATACCAAATCCAATCATGTTCTCATGCATTGATATAGCCTTATCAATTTTGTCTTCAACTTCCAATCCACTTGCTGCAACTTGCTTGAATTATTTTGATGATGTCTCTTACATGTGCTCTTGTTCTTCACGTCAACATTGGGGTAGATATTGATAATTGATCAATCAATAATATTAGGCCTACCATGTGAAGTGTTTTGGGGTAAATTTATTGCAAATTACCTTTTAACAGAGAATTGGGTGATCAGAGATGGCATTTGTTCTTTTTCACAATGTCTCAACCTCGTTGAATCGCTTCATAAACATGCAGATGTGGCTAAACTCAAATTGTTCCAAGGAAGTGATGAAGTTCACTCAAGGAATGCAAGTCGAGGTGCTAACTGACGAAGACGGTTTGAAAGGTGCTTGGTTTGCTGCAACAATTATTGAACCTTCGGGTGAAGACAAGTACCTTATTGAGTACAAAACCCTGAGGAATGATGATGATACTGAGTTTCTCAGAGAAGACATTCGTGCTTGCAACATAAGGCCTTGTCCGCCGGAGATCATTGTTGTGGATGGATTCAAGGTGTTGGATGAAGTAGATGCTTACTACAACGAGGGCTGGTGGGTTGGCGTGATTGAAAAGGTCTTGATCAACTCCAATTACGTGGTTAACTTTATAGAGTATGATGAGAAGACAACGTTCAATCAGGCTGATTTGAGGCCACATCAGGACTGGTTAAACGGCCAATGGGTTGTTCCTTCAGATGTCTGAATTTTATGCTCTCAATTCTAAAAACACTACTAGCCTTTGTTCTTGCATGTGGTCTTTCTCTTTCGGTGGTGTCTGTTACCATTGTGCATCTGATGGTGGGTGTCGGTGGTGGGGTTTGGTGGTGTTTTTTTTTCCTTGCTTCTTTTTTTTTGGGTCTGTTGTTTTTGGTGGCTCCAGGTTCTCTTAGACTAGCCTACAATCCTTCCTGGATTTCGGTCCAAACTCTCTATCACATTCCTATTTTGTAATGAAATATGTCCGCCACAACTACTTATTTTATTCTTCTTTGCTCAATAGACAATTGCAATCATGTGGACCTTAAATTTGGAGGCTGATTTGGGCTATAATAAGGATTAAGCCCAACGAAGCAAATTAATGGATAATCTCCAACTTAATGCTAACAAATTAATGACTAATCTTCCAAAAAAATTTGATAGACCCCGTATTAAACTGACATCTTTTAATTAAACACGTTAACCAAAAATAGTTTACCGATCAAGAACACAAAGTTATCATGCCCTCTATTCCCTCACCACACGTTGGAGAGCCAAACAAAGTTATCATGCCCTCTGTCCCCGATTTGGATCTCTAGCCTGCCTGCTCCCGCGGTGAAATCGCCAGCAATCCATTCTTAAAATACCTCTGATTCCAATTTAAAAGAGTTACTTAAAAAATAATGTAAGGGCCGGCCCATTTAGTCACGTTTGGATCAATGCTTATCACGTCACATCTACTATGAGTAATTTGTTCAAAGTAACATAACTAAATTATATTCATATGTTACATCAAGTACCATCTCAAAAGGATAATAAAGTTACAAAAGATATTAGCGTTCACATATCCATTACGCTAATAGATCATTAGAAATTACAGAAAGGTGGAGCATTACTAACGTTAATCCTATCATATTAATAATACCCAATGCTACTTAGTTATCTAAAGCCGGGAACAACTTAACCAAAAAAAGATCAGAAAAATGCTCCACGTCGTTCCAAGGACCGAATGTAACCAAGACTTTATATGCCTTCTCACCAATCATATTCAGTAGTGTAACATACTCCGCATTTTCAATCTCAGAAGGACTGGCAACAGAAGACAATATTCTTCGTAAGTAAGCTGATGGGAACACGACCTCAACATCAGACAAGTCATCTTCAATGGTCAAGTGAATCAAATATATGTTCGATGCCTCAGACCAAGATCTCCTCAACTCTGTTACAATGCCAGACAAAATGTACGACTTCCCCTGAAATAATCTAAAACATAAAGAGGCGAAAATAATACGAAATCAGATGCAAATTATTGAGATAAGAGATAGATATGGATAGATAAAACAACATGTTATCTTAGTCACCTGATTACCACCATTCATTTGCATTGGGATAAGGTCTATAGTATCCACGGTGTCCCAAATTGCTGCGGCAGTTTGATAGTTTAGATTCATAACGAAATCGTCTCCCATGGTAAAAGACCTATAATTTAGATTTTTAGCAATATTAGCAACTATATCGACAAAGGTTAGAGTTCTTACACTAATCAACTAATCATGTAAAACAGAATATAAACAAACTATAGGAAAGCAAGACATGACTCTGTCAATCCTTTAATGGATTTTTCAATTGGACCTATATTTTACTTCTTTTGACTTATTCTTTGTTGATTCTTACATGGAATTTTTCAACTGGACTCTACTACGTTTTATACAAACAATATATAATGTTTTGTTTCTATACAACACACACTACGTAATCAGATCCAAGTTAAATAATTTTGAAATATATATCCTCAACTATGGATCAATGCTATGCTAAAATCGAAGCAATAACTATTAATCATGTCTCTAAATTGAATAGGCAAACTACATTGTATTAGAAAGCATGCATTCTAACTCACCGGTGGAGCTCGCAAGTATTTTCTGGGAGTCTCTTCCTCAAAAACATTCTGAATGCTAAGATTTTAGTAGATCGGGAGAAAGCAAAGTTGAAGGATAGCCGGCGACTGTACTTTATGAGTGTGCTGGAAAAAATTGTCGACGCTGTTGATGAGAGGAAAGAACAGATTTTTATAAGGTAGGGTTTTAGAAATTACCTACTGGAGATGGCGAAATGGGTTCAATGTCTGTCAGGCAGAGAGGAGGACAGCAACATGCATCCATGCAATGGATTTGTTCTCCATTTGGTTTGTTCGTCGGAAAGTGAACAGAGTAGTGGAAGCCGGATGGGAAGAATGGAGTTGAAAGGTCTTCGGGGGTTTTTTACGCGGTAGCGTTGTAGAAAGTACCTCCTGGAAATGCCGAGATGGAACTGATGTCGGTCAGGTAGAGAGAAGGAATTGAAAATGTGTTCATGCAATGGATTTATTGTGCATTTGCTTTCTTCGTCGGACAGTGAACAGAGCAGTGGAAGCCGAAAGGGAAGAAGGAAGTTGAAACGTCTTCTGGGTGAGGGGGGAGGGGTTTGTTTTTGTTTGATCCAAATGTGACTGAAGAGGGCTTTCCAGTTTGCAATAAATGGCCGGTTGGTGATCCTTTATAATGGGCTAAATGAATAAATGTTGACGGGCCGATAAGACAAGTCCGCTAATGGGCCTGGTGAGAAAAGCCTAAGGGGTCGTTTGGGGCTGGGGAAATCTGCTTTGACGCGTTTTTTGGCCAATCCTTCCAATTGTGACCCTCATGCCTTTTCCCTTCCTCTCTCTTCTACTTCAACGACACCCTTCTTCATCTTCTCCTCTTCTCTTTCCCATCTTTCACTGCAGGCGATCTGCAACGGCGTTCACAAAATCGCCAGTCTTCTCTTCATAACGAGAATCTTCATGCATCATCCCAAGCGAGTCTCCAAGCGCGATGTCCGCCGTGAAGAGATGACTCATCGCCGGCAAAGGGAAGTTTCTCCAACGCCGTTGAGTTGGCTTTCTGGGCTTTTGAAGTGGAGCTCCCGAGCGTTATCAATCTCTTCTTCCTCATGACTGGTCTGACTTCCGGCAACGAGTCAATTTTTTCCATTCTCTCCATTTCTCTCTGCGGTGAGAAATCATCGTCTTCTTCTTACTTGGCGTCTTACCTTGAATCTGGGTTTTTCAATTCAGTCAAGCTTCGATTCATATTTTGGATGCTCTACTGAGGTTTTGTTTGATTAAGGGGAAACTTGGATTGCTTTATTAGCTAGCCTTCTCGTCAATTTTTCAATTTGTTTCAGATTAAGTCTTCTTCCTCATCTGGGTATCAATACCTTATTCCCAAAATAAAAACAGAGGCCACAACAGCAATAATTGGATTCAATAGTGACTGGGTTGATAAGCGAGCAAAACAGAATACATTGATTCAGATTGATGTCCCAAATGTGCACAGATTCTAATGTCTATCGGGCGTTTTTGTTTATGTCCAGTAGTGTTTTTCATGGCAGCAAACTTGTCGAGGAGCTTATAGGACCTCTCTTTCACTCGTGGATTTCTTGCAATTGTTTCTTTTGGTTTGCAGCTTTACCAAACAAGACAATTTCACACAAATTCCTCATACAAATGACTCATCTTTTAAAATGAGTCAATTGGCTCAAATTGCTTCATTCCTCAATTGCTCCATCCAAACGACCCCTAAGTAAATATTTGTAACTGCCTTTCTTGGTTTGCTAGGTCTTAATGAAAACAAGAATAATGAACTGAACACAAAAATAATCTGGACCAGCAAAAGTAGAGGCATACATTGTTGATTGGAAAAGAAGTTTAATGAACCTAAAACATGAACAACCAGGACCAGAAAGTATGTAAATACCCAACCAAACATCATAACGTCCTCCAATCAAAGAACCTAACTCGTCCATAGAGTATCAAACAAATGGCCAGATTCGAAATGTGTCTCCGGTTATTAGAATCCATGCCATTCTTTTCAACTAGCCTTCTTGCTGCTCCTCAGGCCTTCCCTTCTAGTACATGGCTTCTTCTGCAACATTGAATATATAAAGTTTAGTTCCAACGAAAATAATTGTTTCCCAAAAGTATTCTAGACATGCACAATGAACTTCTAATATTACAGTTGGTGGATCAGGGATGTCGGTTGTATCAACATCCTCTTCAGTATCCTCCTCTGATAACTCTGGACAAGTTCTGGCATTATGAGTATCCTTCCCACATTTACTGCAATGTTTTGGTTTTCTGCCAATGTGTGGTGCTTGCTGGTCAGCTCCGTTGTTGGCGACGTTTTCACTATTTGGTTCTTCATTAGTTTCAGTATCAGTAGGTTCCGGTATTGTAGGCCTCACATAATCAAGAGGCTTCTTACAAGTGCTTTTTTTATGACCCAATACGCCACATCTGCTACACATTCGTTGCTCCCCTTTCTTCCTTTTGTTTTCTTGTCCACCCGAACCTTTGTATTTCACAGGATGTGGATCCAAAAGTTTCTCTTTTGCCTTTGGTCTATTGATATCTGGGATCTCAGTATCACCTTCGTTCATCATGTCTAGCGATTCACATATGGATGCAATTCCTGTACGAGCAAGGTTGAAGCTTTCGCTTGATTTTGCCCCTTTTAACCATAACTGGGAGCTGCTTTGTTGAAGAAGCCCATATCTGAAAACCACATTCAATATTATTCTATTAAAACGTCACGAAAAAGTGAAAGCTTATGTTCTAAAACGGGTCAACGCCCTCTGGTACCACCTTAGTATTTAATAAACACATCTGAACTTCTTTCTTAAACACAGTAACACACAATTTCCAGCTTTATACAGTAACTACAAACCTGAATGTGAATAGTCTAGCCTCGTCCATATTGTGTGGTTGTTGTAAGCTATCAAGTGTCTTCGGCTTCTTTGACCACCTTAACTTTACCAACCGTTCTGGAAGTTCCAGCATACCCTCTTCTTTCAGTAGATGAACCATATGAGCGCATGGTATTCCCATATAGTGGTAATAGTTACAACTACACTCCATAGCGAAGGGCTCAATTGTGTATGTGACCTGAAAAACCTTTTGTTTACCTGACATTGTCACTCTGTAAATGCGTTGGTTTTCCGATATCTCTGAACCCATCCTTACACAAGCTCCCGAGTTTTCAAACTCATCTCTGAATTTGAAAAAGGCTTCTTTTGTGAATAATTTAGACGCACTCTTCTGAAGTGAGACTAATATATTAGACGTTATTATCCGTTCACGATGGATGGACTCAAAATCAGCTTGTTGCTCCATCTCCCTCATATCCCTAGCCCAACGATCAAAATGAATAAAGAACTCAAGTAGATTATGATTGTTTTCGATATACTTGGTAAGCTTAGAGTTGATTCCTTCACATCTAGACGTTGTTGACAAGCCTGCAAAGAACTTTGAGCGCAAGTATGTATACCCCCATTCAGTTCTTTGGTCAAATAGATGTGAAACCCAATTGTTATGCTGTTGTGAGCACTCCTCGACCATTGTTTTCCACTTCTCTTCAAATACTGAAGGTTCCCAATCAGCTGACACGAAATGTTTCCATTGTGGCAAGAAGTTAGGATTGTCCCTCACTTTTCTGGCAATAGTTTTGTCTATGTGCCAAGCACATAAACAATGTGTCGCATCAGGGAATACTTGCTGAATTGCATTGCGCATGGCTTTATCTCCATCTGTAACAACAGTTTTAGGATCTACACCGCCCAACCTTCTCCTCAAGGCATCTAGAACCCATACATAGTTTTCTTCTTTCTCATTTGCCAAAAATGAACATCCAAATATGCAACTGTTGAAGTGGTGGTTCACACCTAAAAAATAAACAGGTTATTAAAATTACTTCACTAATAAGACAAGAATTACACTGTACCCATAACGCATGGAAGTGATATTGCATTAGGCTCTTTAACGTGTGGTATTAAGTTTCAATGAATAAATTCTTTATACTTTATAGGAATGAAAATATAAGTTACTATGAACCGAAAATAAAAGAATTAGTACCTGAAAAAATGACTAGAGGCATATTGTAGACGTTCTTTTTGTAAGTCGCATCGAAAGCCAATAATTCTCCAAAGCATGCATAATCAGCCACTGAAATACTATCTGCCCAGAACAAGTTAACAAGCCTGTCTTCATCGTCTTTTTTTAGCTCAATTACGAACTGTTCATCCACACTTAGTTTCGCCTGTAGGTAAGCTAGTGCTGTCGCAGCATCACCATCACTAATCTGTTCCTTCCGATCTTTGTTCACGTAATTATACGCATCTTTCCTCGTGAACCCCATCTTGCTATAGCCTCCTGCCTCTGCAACCGCTAGTGAAACAATCTGTGATGTTTTCATTCCTGCTGCTCTCCGAAAATTGATTGCTGCTTTAACTGCATCACTCAACTGTCGATTCCCTTTCATGTAGTGTCGGTATATTTTTGGAACCGTTACGTGAGAGTGCACGTTATGAAAGGTATCCACAAACCACTTCCCATCTGACTTGTCTAGTCGTACACGAATCCTAGCTTTGCAGTCAAATCTCGTCTCTCCTTTTGGTTCCCTCTTTCGTTCACCCTTTCGGTCGCGCTTTGTTCCTTGACCAGAACATACAAACCGACGCCATATCATGACCTTGTCTTTATCTCGGCCAATATCTTCTTTCCTGACGTCAAAGCCGGTGACCAGCCCATAGTTCCTCCAAAAATCATAGGCTTCTTCAGTGTTAGCGAATCTTAGCTTCTCGATATCTTCTTGCTGTAGAAGTAAGAGATCGGCAAGATCATCATCTTCTACCTCTGAACTTTGGTGAACGTTGTGAATAGTTGAACCGTTACTGTTGTTAATATCTTCATTGTTTTCCACTTCGACGATTTCATCGTCTTCCATGATCGTCGCGCTTGTGATTGTCCAAGCCAACTAACCCTAACTAGCCAAAGTAGTACTAAGGAAATAGCCTCTCCGCTGGCGCTTCACTATGAAAAAACTAACGGATGTTGTATATAAGCTGTGAAATTAAATCCTTGTTTTTAACAGAACAATTTGGGTCCAAACATCCATGGGCTGGACTGAATTCGTTTGGCCTATTTAAATAAATATAGTGGGCCTAAATAACCTCCTTGGTTCGCATAACCAAGCCTGCCGCGGGAAGCCTAGATCACTCTTAATTTATTGGTTGAAAATGGGCCAAACGTGAATTCATAAACTGGCGGAGCCACAACCAACCAAGGAGGTTAAATTGGCATCGTCTTCTTCCCTTCTTCCATCTGCTTTCGTGGTCATGTCTTTTCGAACCTTAAAACCCTAAAATGAAGCCCCTAATCGGTTTAATGAGGTGGATAAATATAGAAGTTCACACGTAACTAGTTAATTCCTTATTAAGTTCATTTAATGAGGTGGATAAATATAGAAGTTCCCACATATAAAAAAACTCTAATTGATATCTCACAGGTTTTCCTAATAGACGAGGTTAAACACCCCTCTGGCGCATCTATTAATATGGCCAAACATCTTGCCCAAAACTCATTCAACTAAAAGTAGCGCAGAGGCCCTTTGGTCAACATTGTGTCTGTAACATTATGGGGAAGGAAGTGTAAGTTTTGCAATCCGCTAATGTGTTTTCTTTTAACTTTTTAGTCAGCTATTTCGTTGTATTTGTTCTTATATTCCACTCTCTCGTTGCTTTTTTGTACAATTATATTAGGGAGAAGAACAAGATGACGAGCGGCCAATCTACTGTACGCCTAACGCGTCCTCTAGCCAAGTCTATGGTTCGTCCAGGAGCTTTAACAGTAGGTTATTTATACAAAACTTATTCTGACTTGATTGTTCATTATTGTAGGAATTGGAGAACTATGTATCTCCTGCAAAGAAAACAAGAATGCAAGACGTCATCCCCCCACCTACACCCGACTCGAAGGTGATTGTTCTTGATGCTGAACCAGGGCTGGAACATTATGAGCTAGGTGTGCAAAACAAACCCCTCACGCCTCCACAAAAATTGTCAATGAAGGTATGTAATCCTAGTGATGTACATATGCTTCCTTTTCGCCCACTATTTTCGTTGTTTTCCTTCGTTCCTTTCTCCGCCACTTGTAATCCTAGTGAAAACCTCTTCTTATTTCCTCTATTTGTTCGTTCTCCATGATTGAAGGGTACCACAAGGTTTGAGCTCCCTACAGCCGTCAACTACAGTGACGAAGAAGTGAGTTTTGCTCACTATATATTTGCAGAAGACCTTCCTCCTGATGAAGCTTTGGTCAAAACAATGATGAAATCATACACCAGGCAGACATTATGGAGCTTATGCCCCGAGTCAAGCGTTGATGCTGATGTAAGTACTTCTGCGAAAAGCCCCTAGTTGACCTGAACGTGCTTAACGATTTTTAATCATTGGATTTTATTTCTATTGTGTTTTAGGTAATTACAGCGTTAGCATGCCACTTGACCTTGGACGAAGTTAAAAGCGATACTGGTCGTGGAAGAAGAGTGTGCTTTCTGCCTACGGAATTGCAGGTAAGTGTTGCTTTTGCTTTGTAATTCTAATTCAGTTTACACAGGGTTGGTTGTTTATTAAGTAAGATTAGTGTTCAATGATTTAACTTCATTTTCCTACCAGGATATGGTCGTTAATTATGGCATGACATCTGCAAAGGCATTAGAGTTATATGATACAAAATTCCTATCAAAAGCTCGTAACTGTAGAAAGGTTATGACTTCTCCACAATTCTTCCTTCTCATTTCTGCTTATTTAGTAGTGGTTTTCACAACATATGTGCGCGTGAATTATGCCTGCCCTTCTGCTTAATTTCCTGAATGAATTATGTCGGAAAACTAATTAGTTAATTGGATTGTTTTCTCGTACCTGTGAAGGTTTGTCTTCCCATGAAAGATATGATGAATGATGAAGGCATCCACTGGTATTTAGCTATAATTTTGATGGACCAGAAACAAGTACACATTCTGGATTCATGCCCATCAAAAGAGCGCCAGACAATCCGTAGGAATGCAGTTAACACAATGGTATAGTTAAAATTTGTGCCATTGAATACATACTTCAATACACGTGTTTGTAATTCAATTATGTGGCATTATATTTTCCAACAAAATTTTGTAATTCATAGGTTACTTTTTGAACGTTGTAGATTGAATTTCTGAACGACTTGTTCGATGCCTTACACAAGGAAGTTCAATCAACATGTGCACCACCACAGATTAAGGAGTTTTCTTTGACCACTCCTGAAGTTCCTACACAACGACACAAGTAAGAATGTATATTTGGTCATAATTTCACTAGAAAAATAAAATATTTGTGTCTTACGTAATGCATCTTTCTAAACAGGAATGATAGTGGGATCTGGGTTTGTGTGTGGATGATGGGATCAACTTGGGATGATGACTATTATATTTGGGTAAGAAATCACCTACTACCTAGGCCCATTTATTTCTACGAGCACATTAAAAAAACTATGTCAACTATTGTATTAATACGTTATTTTCTGTCCTTACAGACATGCAATCATTTGAGAAGAATGCAGGTGGCATTGTACCTAGTCAAAGAGCCTACCAATTACATAAGACACAAGGTGCTCAAGAAAGCAAATCAGAATGCGCCTAGGTTTGAAGCTCAGACACTTGAGTACAAAATAGCTTCCCAAGAGAGGAAAGCAGGTTCCCAGAAGAGGCTAATTCAGGAAAGCAGCTTCCCAGAAGAGGCGAATTCAGGGCTCAAGGATATCTAGTCGCATAGTGTGTTCTGCTAAAACATTTTAGCATTTAGTTTTGTTTCTTCCTTTCCAACGAATGCCCTCTTTATGGTAACGATTTAAGGATATCTAGTCGCATAATGTGTTCTGCTGAAACATTTTAGCATTTTGTTTTGTTTCTTCCTTTCCAACGAATGCCCTCTTTAAGGTAACGATTTAAGGATATCTAGTCGCATAGTGTGTTCTGCTAAAACATTTTAGCATTTAGTTTTGTTTCTTCCTTTCCAACAAATGCCCTCTTTATGGTAACGATTTAAGGACACGTTTATTATTCAGCCGAATAAACACAAGTACACAGCCAGAGGCTAGTTTGCCAAACAGAAATGGAACCGCTACAGTAATCTCACATTGCAAACAGATAGCCAAAATAGCAGCAACAGAAACAGCCACCTCTGAGATTCGCATAAAAACTAATAGAGATAAACTGGCCAGATTACTTGCCTCGGGAAACTTATTCCCATCACGTCTTCGCGAAGTAACCCATCGAAATTTGCTGGAGGATCGTCCAACAACCAGCCCAATCAAGTGGACCCTTAAACCATTTTTCAATCAAGATGGAAGAACCCGAAACATGATTAAAAGCATCACTAGTGAAGAATGTGGCTAAAATGAAAGAGGTCACATATCGTCCATTCAAATAATATTTGTCTGAGCTCAACCAAACTTGAGTTGCTCCCCCTATAAATGTAATCACCCTCTTGTTTCTTCATATCTTCTTCAGACAACTTATCAACTGTGCTAAACATGAAACTATCAAGATCGACTTCCTTGTTCCTCGGATCCATTCTGACCTGGAAAAAGAAAACCACCAAACAAGCTCCTCAACAGATCATGTCAAAGACTACTGAAAGAATGGACCAAAAACACACATGATTCTGGAAAGGGACATCTTAAGCACCTAATTCCGATACACATTAACTCGGTTTATCATCAATGCATAAAACCGTCACCACAATTCGTCAAAACCCTTACCTTGTCAAAGTTAACCACGAAGATAGAAGCAGGACTGGGCCTGTCGGGGTCTCTGTTTAGTTCGAACCCCACGGTTTCAGTGTAAAAAAATGTAGGAATAGAATTTTTGAAATACAGACTCCACAGCTGTAGCCTCCGCTTCAAACAACGAGACCTCTCTTCCCAAATCAGTCTACAATACACCTCATCCATATCAGAGATCCATCCAAAATCACAGCATTGTAGTTCGAGAATCAATTTCGGCAATTTCAATTCAAAATCCCTTTCTTACCTCCCTAGCAGATCCTGAAGGAACCATGGCCTCTTTCATTGCCTTCTCCAGTGCAATCATCTCTGCCTGCCCAGCTGTTTACACAAGTGAATTACTCATACAAGCAACAATTAGTTTTCATTCAAAGGGATGGGGGTGCTTATGCTTGCACAGCTTGACGCCGAGATTACCTGCGATATTCGGCCAGTTTAGGGTTCAAACAATCGATTGGGAGGAATCATAGGACAGGTGTGAAATATAACACTCGAGAACGGGAAAACAAAGGAGAATAAGAGGAGGAAACAGAGTGGTTCAATTATCGCTGCCATTTTCTGAGACGGCTGGGATGATTTACAGGAGTAGGGAGGAAGAACAGGGTTATTCCCAATTCGAACAGAAAAATGGAGAAGAGAGAAGGTCCAAGGTCGGGATTTGGAGGAGAGGGGTAGGGCTGCGGGTGGGGCAAGGTAGGTGTCCTTTCTCTTAGGGTGGTTGGGTACGCCATACCCCGGAATTTACCCGGGGTACGATAGAAGCCACCATATATATATATATATGATCTCCATCCTTTCGATCTTCTATCAAGACCTGGCAATCTACATTGGTTATCTTTCGTGCTATCAATGGTACTCTTAGATAGCACGCCACATGCAATATAGCTCTTTGAAACACAGTTTTAGTAGACAATTCTGCATGCTTTTCTTCACTCAAACCAACACAAAAAATTTGACTTTTGTCTAGATTAAATCAAAGTCCAGACATAAGGTAAAACTTGTTTAACAATCTGCACAGCTCTAGAATAGCTTGCTCTATACCATTAAGTAGTGAAGACTAGTAAGTCGTCAACAAACACCAGGGGGTCATCCCAAGCTGCTTGCACCTCGGGTGGTAAGAAAAGATACTTCTTCATCATCTTTTTCTGAAAATATAAGACAGTAGCTCTGTTGCAATGGTGAACAAGAAACATACATACATAGGGTCACCTTGTCTCAATTCTTTCTTTGCAAGAAAATACCCACATAGTCTTCCATTTACAGCTACACTAAGCATGGGGGTAGAAAGTGATAAGAGAGAGTAATAAGTGGAACAAAATAGGTTCTCCACTATGTTTCCATTTGAGTTGTTACTTCTGCACTTATATAAAACACAGGATTTAATAATGCAAAACTCAGCTTTCCAGAGACACTTTCATGATATCAGAGTCCACTCAACTCCAACGAGTTCTGTGCTAATAATTCTGATCTCTCTTCCCCATCTTCCTATCTCTGTTCCCCCTTGCTACCTCACTATGTCGATGATTTCTACTTCTTCCTCCTCTCTGGCTGCTTCTTCCTCTTCTTCTTTTCCCGTCTCCTTGCCTTCTAATCTCTAATTGTCTATGAAACTGTCACCGATGAATTACTTCTTATGGCGGGCACAGCCTCAACCGCTTCTTCGTTGTTATCGTCTTGACGGCCACGTCGACGGCACCCTCCCTGCACCGCCATAGACTGTTGACAGTCAGCTGAATCCGGCCTTTCGAGATTGGTATGAGCGTGATCAATTGCTCTTAGTCTGGATAAATCTTTCTCTGACCGAAGCTGTCATGCCCCATATCATCAACAAGCACACTGCGAAGGAGGCCTAGGACACATTGGCCTCTGTTTATGATGCTGGTTCTCCGATCATTGTTGGCCAACTCCGTCACGATCTTCACCACCTCCGAGGTGGGACGAACTCAGCCCATGATTACCTCCTACGAGCCAAAACGATTTTCGACAAGATGGTGGTGCTAGGTGATCCGATTAAAGAGGCGGAGCTGGTGACCTCTGTCATTGATGGTTTGGACGAGGACTACCGTCCATTCACACGGAATCTGAAGGCTCGGCTCGAGCCTCTATCCTTTGCCGACCTCAGCAGCCTCCTGCTCAGAGAAGAATTGCAGCTTCGCCGCTTTCAATCGGCAGCTGTTGATGGTGTTCATTCGCAAGCTTTTTATTCCAGTCGTGGACGAGGATCAGGTCGCTTCAGTCGCGGCCGCAGGGGGCGCTCTGGTGGCCGAGGATTTTCCCCTGTGGGCCGGTTTTCTAACCCTTATTTTGCAGGCTCTCGGCCCACAACTGGAGGTTCTCGGGCAACTGGTGGTGTTGTGTTAGGGGCTGGGCCTCTCAGCCAATCTCCTATTGTGTGTCATAATTGTGGAGGGAGGGTTCATACCAGGCCCAATTGTCCCAGTCCATTATACTAGACTCAACCCGTTTATCCTTCTGGCCCGTCTTCCCACTTAGCCAAATCCTCTCAAGCAGTTCTCCAATCCCAACAATGGCTTCTCGACTCCGGGGCTAATCATCACCTTACTTCTGATCTCGATAATCTGGTTCATCACTCTGAGTACACTAGCACCGATCAAGTCACTTTTGGCAATGGTAAACAACTTCCCATTTCTCATTCTGGTTCCTCTCACGCCACTCTTTCCAATACTTCTTATTCTCTCAATAATATTCTTCATGTTCAAAATGCCCTTCATAATCTTCTTTCTGTGAGCTCTTTAACTCGCACTAATCCCATTTCGATTGAATTCTTTGTGATCAAGGACCGCCACATGAAGGCTGAACTCTATCGGGGATCTGCGACTGATGGACTCTATTCTCTACCATTTCATATTCAAAGTCGCGCCGTTCCTCGAGCTTTCACTGCCTCTCTTGATCTCTGGCATCAACGATTGGGTCATGCGAATCTTCGTGCTGTTAAGCATCTTTTGTCTTCCAATTCAATAAATTACCATGATACTGACTCACTCCTACTGTCACTCTAGAAATTGGCCAAGTGTAACCTCTTCCTAAAGCGTAGTATAGCGGGTTTGGGTTTTAATGTCAACCCGGGTCCTAGATTTGATGACTACTCGGTGAATTCTTGTTATCTAGCAGTGAAACTTTAGTGCCAGTCCAAATTAACAAACAAACAAAGCAAGTTAAACGGTTGTTTTCAAGTCAAGAGAGGTCACCCGGATATGGTTCCCCCTAGACTGCAGTTAAGCCGGATTGCAATTTACCAAGTTCAAATTTCATGAAAGTTATACTGCGGAAGGTTCTTAAACAGTCTGAAGTCTCGACTAAAGGTCTCCAGACCCTCTCAATCTGAGTATCCAGCGGGCGACTAACCTCCACCGGAGTAAACAGATTGAGGCCCTAACGAACTGAACCTCCACTACCGAATTGAATTCGGTACAGAATAGCGAATTGGCTCCTCGACTAAAGTCGTCAATTCACTACATTCAATTAAGGGTGCTCTATCAACCTAGGCAGATATTCTCATTCTAGGTTAAAGCAGAAACAATAGGAATTTGATCAGGATTCAAGTCATTCAATCATTCACGCCTCAATCGAATATAATCAAATCATAAAATCTGTATTTGGGTTCATACAATCAGACCTAACATACATATCTAGGGTTCCCCATACCCAGATGAATGGGGAAACTACTCCATGGAGAGAGAAGCAAAAGCAGATTCAGACGCGGAAATCAAACTGTGAAGGATGAGTTTCTGCTCCTGGTTGTCAATCGACACTTCTCCAAGCTCAAACCGGGCTCCAATGGTGATGAAGATCAAGCTATGGCACTTGGGAACTCTGGTTCGTTGCTTTCTCTCTCTAGGAATCGCTCTGTCTCTCTAAAACTCGGAACCCTTGATTTTTTGCCTTCTTTTCCTTTAAAAGGCTAACTGTCGCGATACCCGGTCGAAATACCCGGTCGGGTATTTTGGGTAGCGACCGGGTATAATTGAAACGCACCGTTTTTGCCTCAGGGGAAATCCCCAGTCATAGCCAGTAATCCCCGACCGGGGATTTTCGCCTCCTGCGCGGGCCCCCTTCTATTTCTCACGGACGCCCAAAGCCAAAAAT